ACAGTCTCCATCATTCGCCACCCCCACACACCCACAAACACACCAAACTAGACCTGTAGCATAAACAGAATCACTATGGATTACACCTAGCCATTCATCTATCCGATAGAGTCCGTCTCATTATACCTAGTAATTTATCTATCCGATAGAGTCTGTCTCATTATACCTAGTCATTCATCTATCCGATAGAGTCTGTCTCATTATAACCAGCCATTCATCTATCCGATAGAGTCTGTCTCATTATACCTAGCCATTCATCTATCCGATAGAGTCTGTCTCATTATTTCTATCCATTCATCAATCCGATAGAGTCTGTCTCATTATACTTAGTCATTCATCTATCCGATAGAGTCTGTCTCATTATATCTAGCCATTCATCTATCCGACAGAGTCTCTCTCATCCATTTGTTCATCTTTCCAACTATTTATCTCATCGTTCATTTATCTATACCGGTGGTTCTCAAAGATAACTGTGGGGTGGTGAATTGTTTAGTTGGCTCTTATGGACGGTTACAGTATATGAGGATCATTTTTTAAAACTATAAATGACTTTCAGATTTTTTATCAGAATTCAAATAAATTTAAGATCGACTGTGGTGGAAGAGATAATTTTTTAAAACATTTCTCTATCAAAAGGCAAGAAGCTGTTTGACAATAGTTCAATGTTGGGAAAACACATTTTTTTCTTTTCTTTCTTTCTCAGCACTGACTTTCTTAGTCAACAATCACGTTGTCTCGTGTCAATCTTATCAAATCGATAATTCAGCGAAATCAATTTATGATTGTAAAGCAATTGCGGTCACTTTACTAAAACGAAATCAACAATCGATGATTTTGCATGACACTTCGAGCTGCCCAAGGGCAACAAGGGCAACAAAACCAACAAGATCATCTCAATTCAATAGGAACACAAAAATGGGCATGTAATGTGCAAGCTAACAATTTGAAGGTATTTTGCAACCATTTGCATACTGCAGATTAGTAATGTCATCTTAGGATCTTCTTTTTTGGTAAATTTTCCAGAACGCTATCGAAAACACTTGCTTAATAAATAACTTGTGAAAAATTCAAAAATTCTTGGATCAAGTTAATCAGTTTATCGCTGACAATATTTTATAAATAAAACGCTTAATTCGTTTATAGGATCAATAAATTAATCGTGGGCCCTTCAGATATAGAAGAAGAAGAAGAATTTAGAATTGAGTAAATATATTTCTTTAAGATTTTATTTTATCAATTACCGAATGGTCGTGCAGAATTGCAGACTATGCGGTGCTAATAACGGAGAAGGAAACGGGGTTCGGGGAGCTGGGAAGGGGTGGCTGGGGGTGAGAGGGTGCCTTATGGCCTGAAAAATTTTGAGAACCACTTTCTTTCCATTCATTCATCTCACTGCTCACCCATCTCTCCACCGTCCTTCAAGGAAATATGATAAAAGTAACAAAAGGAAACTTAAATCCCCCGATTCCAACCACTTTTACACATAATCGTATGCTTTCAAATAAGTTCAGACATTTGCCACGTGGAGTCATCATTATGTTCGTGACTTACCCTACGAGACCCCTTGCATTGTTTGGGTCGATACCATCTGCTCCGAACCACTAATTAAGATGTCCGTTGTAAACCATTGCCGGCCAACGAAGGTGTCCGTTGTAAACCATTGCCGGCCAACGAAGGTAGGGAACGTGTGGACGTGTGCGAGCACGATTTATGGACGTTACTGGGCTACTGTAAACCTTTTGTAACTTTGCTGAAACACCAACGGCCGTCCTGCTGAGAGACTTACTTCTTTTGCAGAACCAGGAAGTGATCGTAAACTCTCCACACCCGTTTTCTCCAAACGAAGAAATAAGAAACATGAGGGTGAAAATCACCTCAAAAAAAAACAAAAAAAAAAAACGAACGTGTCGACCGATAGCCTTCTTCGGTGATCCACAAATAATAACAAAAAGTCGGAGAAGATACGTCAGCGAATTGTTACTAAAATAGCAATTGTGGGGAAGGAAATATCTATTGTGGGAAAAGAAACAAGTACGGCAGCAAATGTTTTTATTGTTTATTTTACATGTAACATTTGTATGTCATAGTTGATATATTTTACAGTCTTTTTATATATATTTCATTTTCTTCGCCACTTGAAAAATTTGTTTCATGTTTTGGTCATATTTAGCAATTTAAAAAAAGAAAATGTTTCGTTTATTTTTAACCTCTTTCATGTTCAGATCATATTTATCTTTTTCATGTAAAGGTGTCACTTGGACTTGCTATATGTTAAGATCATTTTTCGACCTATTTCAAAATTTCATGTTTTTTAAAATTTTTATTTGATCAGCTTTATGTTTTGGTTCTATTGGATCTATTTTATATTAAAGTCATCTCCCATCTATTTTATGTTAAAGTCATATTCGATCTCTTTTATGTTAAAGTCATATTTGATCTATTTTATATTTTAGTCATATTCGATCTATTTCATGTTTAAGTCATATTCGATCTGTTTTATGTTTAAGTCATATTCGATCTGTTTTATGTTTAAGTCATATTCGATCTGTTTTATGTTTAAGTCATATTCGATCTGTTTTATGTTTAAGTCATATTCGATCTGTTTTATGTTTAAGTCATATTCGATCTGTTTTATGTTTAAGTCATATTCGATCTGTTTTATGTTTAAGTCTTATTCGATCTGTTTTGTGTTTAAGTCATATTCGATCTATTTCATGTTTAAGTCATATTCGATCTGTTTTATGTTTAAGTCATATTCGATCTGTTTTATGTTTAAGTCATATTCGATCTGTTTTATGTTTAAGTCATATTCGATCTGTTTTGTGTTTAAGTCATGTTCGATCTGTTTTGTGTTAAAGTTATCTTCGATCTATTTCATGCTAGGTCCTATTCAATAGATTCCAAACATATCAACCTTGGAAGTTAAGAAAATTGATGACCCAAAACAGTTTTCCGTAATGGCACTGTATTAAAAATGTCACTTTGTTGTACACGGCACTGTGTTGAAAGTGTCACGTTGTTGTGCATGGCGCGGTATTGAAATTGTCACTTTTTTGTACACGGCACTGTACTTTGTATTGCACTGTATTTTTATACGGCACTGTATTTTATACGGCACTGTATTTTGTATGACACTGTATTTTTATATGGCACTGATTTTTATACGGCACTGTATTGCACAGGTCTCATTATTGCACACGTCTCATTATTGCACAGGTCTCATTATTGTACACGTCTCATTATTGCACACGTCTCATTATTGCACAGGTCTCATTATTGCACAGGTCTCATTATTGCACATGTCTCATTATTGCACAGGTCTCATTATTGCACAGGTCTCATTATTGCATAGGTCTCATTATTGCATACGTCTCATTATTGCACACGTCTCATTATTGCACACGTCTCATTATTGCACATGTCTCATTATTGCATAGGTCTCATTATTGCACAGGTCTCATTATTGCATAGGTCTCATTATTGCATACGTCTCATTATTGCACACGTCTCATTATTGCACACGTCTCATTATTGCACACGTCTCATTATTACACAGGTCTCATTATTGCACAGGTCTCATTATTGCACACGTCTCATTATTGCAACCGTCTCATTATTGCACAGGTCTCATTATTGCACAGGTCTCATTATTGCACAGGTCTCATTATTGCACACGTCTCATTATTGCACACGTCTCATTATTGCACACGTCACACATAGTGCTCACCATTGTCTTATTGGGTCAAAGGGAAGCGACTCAGATGGAATATGTATTTGTAATTTATAGAGTTGTCTTCCTTCGTCCCACGTAATTTTAGTTTGAAAACATTTAGAAATGTTTCAATCAATTTGTTTCACATAATTTGACTGAGCCTTGATTGCAAATAGGAAGAGTTACTCATAGATGTAAACATATAGTAGGAAAGAAAATGTGTTCAGCTTAACAAAAAAAAAAAGGATACAATTTTTTTTTTTTTTTTTTCTTTAAATTGTTTGCAAATTTAATTTTTTTTTTTNCTCTCCAAGCCTAGACTGTAACAGCATCCTGGGCTCTCCAAGCCTAGACTGTAACAGCATCCTGGGCTCTCCAAGCCTAGACTGTAACAGCATCCTGGGCTCTCCAAGCCTAGACTGTAACAGCATCCTGGGCTCTCCAAGCCTAGACTGTAACAGCATCCTGGGCTCTCCAAGCCTAGACTGTAACAGCATCCTGGGCTCTCCAAGCCTAGACTGTAACAGCATCCTGGGCTCTCCAAGCCTAGACTGTAACAGCATCCTGGGCTCTCCAAGCCTAGACTGTAACAGCATCCTGGGCTCTCCAAGCCTAGACTGTAACAGCATCCTGGGCTCTCCAAGCCTAGACTGTAACAGCATCCTGGGCTCTCCAAGCCTAGACTGTAACAGCATCCTGGGCTCTCCAAGCCTAGACTGTAACAGCCTCCTGGGCTCTCCAAGCCTAATTTTATTTTTGGTGTTGGAGTGGGAGGGTTTTCCTCCTCACTGTTTTTTTTTTTTACGCGAGATACGCCTAACTGGCCCCTGCATCCATGACGTGGCAGTTGTAAATCTAAGGACCTATTTAGAATCTTGTTCACAATGTCATAAGTACAAAACATTATTCCACTCCACACACCAATTTCATTGAAACTTAAGCTTGCATAGATATTCACACTCTACTCACTAATTCAATGAAATGTATATCTTGCATTTAATTCACACTCAACTCACTAATTCAATTAAATGTTTATTTAGCATAGATCTTCACACTCTACGCACTTATTCAATGAAATGTACATCTTGCATAGATTTTCAAAATAGTACACACTAATTCATTTGAACGTATGTCCTGTATAGATATATTCAAACGGTCAATTACCCCAAAACACAAAAATTTATTCAACCATTCAGAGGATCCCTTTCCTTAAAACAATAAGGGGATCACTGACTAATGAGATTGACCTGTATAAGTCGGGACAAATTGAACAAGACGCCCATTCGCTGATCTTCTTGCGTGGCGTGAACACGACTCTAGACATGTTGGTCAAGACGTTCATACTCGTCGGCCTCACGCTTCTTTGTGGGTAAGTGCGGTCAAGTGTGGTCAAGTGTGGTCAAGTGTGGTCAAGTGTGGTCAAGTGTGGTCAAGTGTGGTCAAGTGTGGTCAAGTGTGGTCAAGTGTGGTCAAGTGTGGTCAAGTGTGGTCAAGTGGTTTAGTCATTAAACAACACTTTTGTCCCCGGTTATAATTGTTTTTGGCTTCAAAGCTTTGAGATGTATACAAGATATCACAGGGCCTACCCGCCAGTATCCAGGTTCTTGCAATATGTCCAAGGTACTGCCATAAATCCTAGCTAATGCTGTTTAAGTCCCATGTACTGCCATAAGTTCCATGTACTGCCATAAGTCCCATGTCCTGCCATAAGTCCCATGTACTGCTATAAGTCCCATGTCCAGCCATAAGTCCCATGTACTGCCATAAGTCCCATGTCCTGCCATAAGTCCCATGTCCTGCCATAAGTCCCATGTCCTGCCATAAGTCCCATGTCCAGCCATAAGTCCCATGTCCTGCCATAAGTCCCATGTCCTGCCATAAGTCCCATGTACTGCCATAAGTCCCATGTCCAGCCATAAGTCCCATGTACTGCCATGTACTGCCATAAGTCCAATCTACTGCACTCAGAAGCCCTCAGCTGGATCACCTGAAATGGTCAGACCACAGCATAGGCCATCGCATAATGCGACTGTTAAAATTGTGATGAGTATGTTCGGCTACAAAATCCGGTCCTTCTTTTTGACGTAACCAGATTTTAGAGAGTAACACTTTAAATATAATCTTAGTAATAAATCTCCATTTTTAACAAAATCCAGTCCAACAATTTTCTTCCCAACACATTTCTTTTGCACAAATTCCCGGGTACGATTTCAAATGAAAGTATGTTTACATCCCTTCCCAGGAGCCGAGTCGGCGGTATTCACGCTGCTTCTGCCGACGACCTTGAGACGAAGATGGAGTTCGTCTTAGAGGCTCTCAGCTACATGGAACGATGGAGCCTTAAAGTAGAAGACGTCCTTCAAAAATTAAACGGTTTGGACCTTTCTTGTTACCGGCCTAACATTGTGTCTATGGAGTGACAACAGTTCATAACTGCGTGGCGCTAGCGTGATAATTAAGAGGCAATAATATCAAAATAAAGTCGAAAAAGATTCAATAGCCTGGTAAATCAGTTGCAATATTAGCGAACATTTATAGATTTGGGGTTTTCTTTTTAGAGTCGTTCCCTGAGTGGTCAAACTGCAGCAAGGAGTGTGGAGGAGGATACAAGACTCGCCCCAAGCTGGAATGTCCGGAAAATGATCAGGAAAACTGTACTGAAATAATGTACTGTAACCCTCAGCGCTGCCATGCGGGTAAGTAGTTTATTGGTCGTCTGCTTTATTTTGTCAATGTTATTATTTGAACTCATAGAATTTAAATCTGAAATTATTAACCCCTAATTGAACATCCTCTAATTGAACATCCTATAATGAACATCTTCTAATAAACTCATTCTAATAAACACCTTCTAATATAAATCTTCTAATAAACATCTTCCAAAAAACATCCTATCATAAACATCATCTAATTAACATCCACTAATAAACATCCTCTAATAAACATCCTCTAATAAACATCCACTAATAAACATCCTCTAATAAACATCCTCTAATAAACATCCTCTAATAAACATCCTCTATTAACATCCTCTAATTAACATTCTCTAATAAACATCATCTAATAAACATCATCTAATAAACATTCTCTAATAAACATCCTCTAATTAACATCCTCTAATACACATCCACTAATAAACATCCTCTAATTAACATCCTCTAATAAACATTCTCTAATAAACATCATCTAATAAACATCATCTAATAAACATCATCTAATAAACATCCTCTAATTAACATCCTCTAATAAACATCCTCTAATAAACAACCTCTAATAAACATCCTCTAATAAACAACCTCTTAAAAATCCTCTAATAAACATCCACTAATAAAAATCCTCTAATAAACATCCACTAATAAACATCCTCTAATAAACAACCTCTAATAAACATCCTCTAATTAACATCATCTAATAAACATCCTCTAATAAACATCCTCTAATAAACATCCTCTAATAAACATCATCTAATAAACATCCTCTAATAAACATCCTCTAATTAACATCCTCTAATAAACATCCTCTAATAAACATCATATAATAAACAACATCTAATAAACATCCTCTAATAAACATCCACTAATAAACATCCTCTAATTAGCATCCTTTAATAAAAATCCTCTAATAAACATCCTCTAATAAACATCCTCTATTAATATCCTCTAATTAACATTCTCTAATAAACATCATCTAATAAACATCATCTAATAAACATCATCTAATAAACATCATCTAATAAACATCCTCTAATTAACATCCTGTAATAAACATCCACTAATAAAATTCCTCTAATTAACATCCTCTAATAAACATTCTCTAATAATCATCATCTAATAAACATCATCTAATAAACATCATCTAATAAAAATCATCTAATAAACATCCTCTAATTAACATCCTCTAATAAACTACCTCTAATAAACATCATCTAATAAACATCATCTAATAAACAACTTCTAATTAACATCTTCTAATTAACATTTTCTAATAAACATCCTCTAATAAACATCATCTAATAAACATCCTCTAATTAACATCCTCTTAAAAACATCATCTAATAAACATCATCTAATAAACATCCTCTAATAAACATCCACTAATAAACATTCTCTACTTCAGACTATCAACGGGAGCGCGTTGCCACGTGTAAAATAGAGACTGACCCTCGATACCTCGCCTCTTATAAATTTAGTGGTGAGGTCATTTTGAGTCAGGTAAGTACCCAGCAGTACTATCAGACATCTAACTTTAGTGGTGAGGTCATTTTGAGTCAGGTAAGTACCCAGCAGTACTATCAGACATCTAATTTTAGTGGTGCGGTCACTTTTAGACAGTTAAACACCCAGCAGTACCATATATCTCCTACTAAGCCAAGTGTTGGACATCGGGAAATAAGATAGTTCCTCGGGCTACACCATCGGGTAAACATTGAATCAGTGAAGGGGTTTGCACGTGTTTAGTAGCTGTGTAGCCGGTAGTTTTTCTTCTGTATAAAGAAGATCTAAAACAAATATCTATAAAACTATAAATAAAAAGAACTTGAACATTAAAATCTCTGCTCCCAATTCTTGAAACATTTCCTCCATTCCTCATTTTCTATCTCCCCTCCTCCCTCCCTCCCTAACGCCCCATCTCTCTCTCTCTCTCTCTCTCTCTCTCTCTTCCTCTCTCTCCCTCTCCCCCTCTCTCTCTCTGTCTCCCGACTCCCCCACTAACTCCATCTCTGCTTCCCTCTCTGTCTCATTGTTCTTCTCCCTCACAGTTTCCCTCCTAATTTCATCAATGAATACCTCCATGTCACCTTCCATGCCTGCCTCCATGTCTCCCTCCTATCTCCCTCTCTGTTTCTATAATATATGCTTCCCTCTCTGTGTCCTCCAATATGCATCCATGTCTCCCTCAATGTAACGCTCCAAGTTTCCCTCCATGATTCCCTTACTGGCTCCATCTTCGGCTCCCTCTCTGTCTCTATCTCTGTTTTACTATTTCCCTCATAGCCTCTTTTCCAGTATTCATCAATGTCGACCTCTATATCTCCCCCTCTCTCCCTCCAGGTCTCCCTCCAGGTCTCTCTCCAGGTCTCCATCCAGGTCTCCCTCCAGGTCTCCCTCCAGGTCTCTCTCCAGGTCTCCATCCAGGTCTCCCTCCAGGTCTCCCTCCAGGTCTCCCTCCCTGTCTCCCCCGATCTCAATCCATGTCACGCAGGCTCCCTCCATATCTTCGTCAATCTCTTACTCCATATCTCCCTCAATGTCTCCATTCGTCTCCCTCTATGAGTCCTAATATGTCTCACTCTCTGTCACCCCCTCTTTGTCTCAACCTCTGTATCCCTATATGTATTCCTGTCTCCGTCAGAGTTATTCTCCATGTCAACCTTCATGTCTCCCTTCTTTGTCTATATGTCACCATCCAGGTTTCCCTCCATGTCTCCCTCCATATCTCCCTCAAAGTCTCTATCCATTCCTTCCTATATGCCTCCTTCTATGTTTCTCTCCTTCTATGTAACCCTCTCTTTCCCCGTTATTCTCATCCCATGTCTCCCTACCAGTCTCCCTACCAGTCTCCCTACTAGTCTCCCTCCACACATGCCTCTAAGTATCGCCCCATGTCTTCTATCATGTATCTTACACTAAAATCCTCTCTGTCTCCCTCCCTGTCTCTATCCCTGTCTCCATCTCCGACTCCCTCTTCACCTCCCTTCCTGTCACCTCCCTGTCTACCCCATTGTCACCATCCTTGTCTTCCTGTCTACCTCCCTAGCTAACTCCATATCGCCCTCTCTGTCTACCTCCCGATCTAACTCAATATCCCTCTCTGTCTCCCTCTATGTTTCCCACTATACCTCCCTCTGTATCCCTCCCAGTCTCCCTTTCAGTCTCACTCTCTGTCTTCGCCTGTCTACCACACTCCCTCTCTAAAACTATAAAGTTCTTCTTGCAATGACTAAACTTTCTGAAGCTATGACATATGCTTTTGTTTTCGTAACAGCGTAAAGGTCAACCCTTAAAGGTCATTGCTGTTATTAACAACGAGTCTCCTAAGGAAGCAAATGATAAGTCAATCAAACACGGCTTCCACGTGCACACATACGGGGACATTCGCCATGGATGTGCAGTGGACGACCAGGACTTCAATCCAGATGATGTTACCCACGGATACATCGACAGCCAGATAAGGTAATATTACCCACGGATACATGGGCAGCCAGATAAGGTAATGTTAGTCACGGATACATGGACAGCCAGATAAGGTAATATTACCCACGGATACATGGGCAGCCAGATAAGGTAATGTTACTCACGGACACAGGGACAGCCAGATAAGGTAATGTTACCCAGCCGGATAAGGTAATGTTACCCACGGATACATGGACACCCAGATAAGGTAATGTTAGTCACGGATACATGGACAGCCAGATAAGGTAATGTTACTCACGGATACATGGACACCCAGATAAGGTAATGTTAGTCACGGATACATGGACAGCCAGATAAGGTAATGTTACCCAGCCAGATAAGGTTATGTTACCCAGCCAGATAAGGTAATGTTACCCACGGATACATGGACAGCCAGATAAGGTAATGTTACCCACGGACACATGGACAGCCAGATATGGTCTGCACCTAGGATATTTTTCAGTCAAGTTTAGACTTGTTGCATGCATAAGGATATTTGATTTGTCTATTTCTGAGTGCATGTGACAGACTGCTGGTTTGTTGGCTCCTAGGTCTCGGTGTTTATATTTCTTGATGTTCCAGGTTGAGGACTCATTATTTAGAAGGGGAAAAAAATAAAGACACCTACGTAATGTTTTGGTTAACGGCAGATTGTATATTCTAGCGTAGCGATTTAGAGTTAGTCAAGTATCTCACGCAGTAACTTGGCATTGCAAACAACACAAAAACAAACACGCCTTGAGACTTACGGAAAGCGCACTTTCGCATTTGCTGGTCCAACAAATTGGAACGCCCTCCCTGACGATCTCAGAAACAACCAGACACTGGAGTCCTTTAAAACCGATTTAAAGACACATCTATTTCGCAAACACCTTCTGGGTTGATTGTCTACCTTATTTTCCAGTTAATGCATCATGGCTGTGTTGCTCCGGGTTGAAATGGCTAGAAAGACTTTGAGATTGTATGCTTGTAATTAGTTTTTGTAGTGTTGCGTTTGTTATAAATGTGGTAAATTATAGATTTGTTTTTTGTTGACTTTGTACCGCGCTTCGAGCCTTTGGGGATGAAGCGTGTTTTTTGAAATGAACTTTATTATTATTATTTTATAAAAAAAATTAGGCGAAGTCAGTAGGTTTTTTTAAGGTTGGGTGGGGGGAGGGGAGGGGTGCCGTTAAGTTTATGAATGGAAATAAGTAGCACTTTTTCAGAGAGCCTTTTATCCATGTGTGGATTTGAGTTGTCATTAAAATGTATTGACTAAAATGGATTAGAAAATTTTAAAAAACAAACAAAAAAACGATGACTTAATTCTTAAAGCCCTTACCAGCGTAACATATAGACGATTGTGTTTCCTATCATAGACATGTCGGTGATTGGGGCAACATTGATCTGGAACAAGGGAACATCACCACCTTTACATTCACAGATAACGTTGCTACTCTGTTCGGTGATCGATCAATTATTGGAAGATCGCTCGTTGTGAGTATCGATGTCGATGGTTCGATTCCTGGGCAAAAATTATTCAAATGAGAAAAAAATCATTATATCATATACTAATTTAATGTTGTTTTATTTCATCAAAACTTACAAGTAGAAAAGTTCTGTAACTTTATTTTCAAAAATCCATTTCGATTTATTCTGTTCCAACTCTCGCAATGTCTAATCCGACAACTTTGTCCATAGATCCATGAAAAAGAAGATGACGGAGGAATCAATGCTGACCCTGAAAGTAAACGCAGTGGCAACACCGGGGTGCCCGTGGCTTGCTGCGTCATCGGCTTGGCCTTTGAGTAGACCAACCGACCTGACAACATACCAAGATCTGGGACCAGCACGCCGCCGGGCATATGTCTCATAATCTTTTTTCAGTTCATGTTTGGTTTCTTTATTCTAGAGCGAATCTCACCGTGGCCTAAAGTTTAAATAGAGTTTTAAAAAAATATCAAGTTTGACTTTTTATTCATCTGTCAAGTTCCAGGTCCAGTTCGTGAGAAATCGTAACAAATGTGTCATTTTGAATCTAAAATTTCAACTGTAATGGGAAATATGTTTGGTTTGCCATGGCCAGATCCAGACTTTAAAAAAGGGATTGGAAGCACCAGCCTCAAATAGCCAACTCTAGAGCTTCAAAGGAAGGCTAAAAAAATGGAGAGAAAAAAATCCATATCTAGAACGTAAAAGGAATGGTAGAAAGTAGAAACTGCAACCCCCAACCACCAACCCACAACCACCAACCACCAACCACCAACCCCCAACCACCAACCACCAACCACCAACCACCAACCCCCAACCACCAACCTCCAACCCCCAACCACCAACCCCCAACCACCAACC